TTTTCTTGGATGACCAAAAAAAACCAATGATGGCAAAATTGCCAATATATAATTTTCATTTATATTTATGGATTTGATTCGAAGAAAAGAAAAAAAAATAATTTCTCTCTCTCTCTCTCTCTCTTTTACATGGCTCATTAGTTAGTTGAATAAGTCTATTGTTAAAATGACTGACTCTCGTCGACATGACCATTTCTCTCATTAATAACTTTTAGTTCATTTTTCATTTGAACTACACACGACGTATACTTGAATTGAATGATGAGAATTTTTTTTTTTTTTGCTTAGAACAATCATCATAAGGAAAAGAATTGATTGGAAAAAAATATCGATCAGTCAGAATGTGTGTGACTGAATCAAGCATTTTTTTTGACAAGTTTTTCAATGTTTAGTTCCTTTCTCTTTCCTTCCTTTTTCAATTGATTGTTGTTGTTTTTCTCTTGAGATGAAAATTTCGATTTTGTTCGCCAAAAATAAAATAAAAAAAAATCAATCGACATTTGTGAACAAAACGATTCGTTTCGCGGCATTATTATTATTATTTTACTAGCAGGTAAAAAGGTGGTTATTAATTTTTTTTTTCGTTCACCTTTTCAATTCATTCAGTTTGGTTGTCGTCGTTTTTCATTCATTCATTCATTCACATTCTGTCCGGTAATTTTAATTGGCAATTCTTTTTTTTCTAAACTTTTAAAGTGTGTGTGTGTGTGTGAAAAGCTATAAATAGTGTGAAAAAATGTGCAGTAATAAGAATCGATTAATGTATCAACAACAACTTCATTAAAAAAAAATTGGCTTTTCATTTATCAGATGTTGAATTGGTGTGATACACAAACTAAAGGCAAAAAGGTGGGCAGTTAAAACATTTACTCGATTGGTTCCTGTGTGTGTGTGTGTGAAAAATGTTTCAAACCGAATCAAAAACGATCAAATCAGATCACACATTTGAAAGAACAATGTCATTGCTGAATTCAATCAATGAATTGAACGCAAATCTCTTTCACCTTTCTTTGATTATAATCATCATTATCTTTGAAACTATTCATTCGACCTATTAAAAACGAATGGTGACCGAAACGAATTGTTCCATTCCAAAAAAAATGGTCACAGATTCAGCGATGATGGTGAAACAAATTGACTTTTGTTTGGTTGAATTATGATGACGACGATGATGATGATGATGAGGATTATGAATTGTGAAAAGTTAAAAGTCAAATGTCATCGATTGTGAATTGTTTCTAAATAAAGTTACTCACACACACACACACACACACCAAATGTATGCAAGTATTTCCAACTTATAAATTCAATTGTCCAGACGATCGAGGTGTGAGCAAAGGCATGACCAACAACAACAACAACCACAAACAACAACGATAACAACTATTCATTCATGGTGAAAAATTTAAATTCAATTATATTTAATTCATCAAAAAAAAAAAAAAAATGATGTTGAAAGAATAGGAAAAAATCATCGTTGTTTTTTTTCTGGCAACCATACAAAATTCAGTCACCGTGTGTGTGTCTGTGATCTATTTTTATAAATAAACATACTGACAGACATGATAATAAAAAAAAAATGACAATTTGATCTTGAAAAAAATAATAAATATTTCTCTCATTTACATTCATTTTCCATTAAATTTTGTCCAACTAATAAATCTATCCCTTTTTTTATGTATCTAGTGATGATGATGATCATGATGATGATGATGGTGGTAAATAATGATGCATACACACCATAATGATTTGGCTTAATTACATCCGAGCTTGATGTGAATCATTTTTTTTTCAGAACTGGAGAAAAAAAATGATTCATTGTCATCATCATCATCATTTCAAATGACAATCATCGCAATCATTTTTCATTCTTTAATCTTGAGTTTGTTTATTTTTCTATACTGTTACAATTTCAATTGCATTTTTTGTTAGTTTTAATAATAAAACATATAATAAATATATATTCACATTTGAAATGGAATTGGCATCAAATTTGATGATTTATCTTGTGTAAGTAAATGAAAAAAAAACACACTAGATGATAATCATTGACACAATTGAAGAAAAAAATTGTTATCAATATTGGGATGCATATAAATGAAATTAATGGACAAGATTTTTTTATTTTTCTCTTTTTGCCCCTTTTTTTCAAAAAAAAATCTCATCAAATTGATCATGATTGATTAACATTTCGGCTGATGATTTCTGTTTTTTTTTCTCCATTCATTGATTGCATAGTATACAATAATAATAATAATCATGATGACTACTATGAGATGAAAGAAAGAAAAAAAAAACATTGCTAATTGTATTGCTAACTAATATTCATTATCCATAATCAGAAATCAATTTTCATTTATTTTTTTCTATTTCTATTCATCATCATCATCATCATTATATATGACTGTAACCTAATCAATAATCACTTATGTATTCAATTGAAATCAATCTGAAAGTAATAAAAATGAAATGATCATACCACCACCATCACCAGTAACAGCAACAATGACAAACTATTGTAATAAATTACTATTACTATCTATATAGGTTTCAAAATAATCTAATTTCATTTGATTTAACTCTTTGATTTGATTGATTTTTTTTTTTCAATAAAATTGATGAGATTTCAATATTTGAGTGTTTTGTTTTGTTTTGTTTTTTTTTCTATTCACAATCGAATGATCTAATAGAGCGATAACTTGGCTAGTTTACAAGAATGTTATCACCTCACTATCTTTCTCTCATGCTAATTCATTCAATTTTTCCATCATCATCATCATCATCATCATCAATGAGCTGTTTTGTCCGAAACATTAACATGCTGAACATTTAATGATAATGATGATGATTACCACGGATGTGCTTTTTTTTCGCTCTTTCTCTTTTCTATTCTAGACTAGATCAAATCGAATGCCTAGTGTCTATTTGTGTTCATGGTAAAAATGAATGTTGATTATGATGAACACGATTTATGTTTGTTATATTATTGTAACATATGGCATTTTTTTTCTGGCTCTATCTATCTAGCTGTGTGTTGTTATTGTATTTGAGAAAAATTAATTGGAAGTCAAGTTTCAGCCATTTTTTTTTTCTCATTCTGCTTCTGCTTTATTATTGTTTGGCGTTGGTACGGTGCAGAGTAGTTGTTGTTGTTGTTGTTTTTCACAAGTTAGAGATGAGCAAACCAGAAAACTTTGTTAACCATATTTAAATGGAAAAAATGGCAATGCATCCGTTTTTTTCTTCTTCTCTTTGCACTATCTTTCTTGTTATTTCGTTAACTTCAACATCAATAACGTTGGGAAAAAAACTCATCATCAGCTACGCAGTCTCTCTCTGTCTCTCTGTTTCGATAACGATGATTATATCACTACAAAAGCAGCCATATCTCTAAATCTAAAATAATTGTGAAAAATGTCTGCTTTCATCGACTATACATGTCATTTTTTTTTTGTTTTGTTCTGTTTGGATATCTGGTTTGTCTGTATCAGTGAATGAATGAATGAATGAAATAAAAGCAGCCAAGCGGCAAAGTGTTAAAAAAAACAACTAAACATACACGTTGTTGAGCTATATATGCAACCAAAAAAAAAAAAAAAAAAAAAAAACGTTTCTATGTTCACATGAAAATAAAATAATTCACGCCCATTTTACAATACTATTCATTTCTAAAATGGAATTTGATTGGATAGTCAATAATATACATAGTAATGCTAATGAAAATTCTAAGCACCTCCTTGCTTGTTTATTATTATTATATATACTGAATATATATATTATATATATTGTTATAATACACAAAACAATGAAAGAACATCATCATCATCATGATGTCGATGATCATGATCATCATGATGATGATGATGATGATGATTGGTGAAAATGTGTCTATGTATGTAGAATAGAATAGACAAAACAAGTTAAGTTGTCAAAAAAAAAAAAAAAAAAAACTAAGCAGCAACAAAAAAAAGAGCTTGAAGATATGATGATGATGATTACGATGGTAAATCATCGAGTGAATCGTGTGTGTGTGTGTGTGTGTGTGTGTGTTAATTAAAATTAGAACATATATATTGTTAATGTTGCTGTTGTTGTTGTTGTTGAATATCTACTTTTCTTCTTTCTTTTTTTTTGGGATACGAAACGCGAAATGAAATTGTTTAGTTCAATTTTGAACATCAACTAGATCATCAACAACAATTGCGCTAGGCCAGGCCTTTTTTATACACATCAAGATATATATATATAACACATAGAGAAGCAATAAAGAAAGAAAGAGAGAGAGAGAAATCTTGTGAATTAAAAAAGAAGAAGAAAAAAAAAGAATAAGCAGTATTTCATTCTTGTTATATATTCGATCAATTTTCTTAGATCTATGCCTTGTTTGTGATTCATCTCAATATCAACTTGTTTTGTTTCTTGAATATTAAAAAAAAAACGATCATCATCATCATCATCATCGTTGATGTGTGTGTGTGTGTTGGTTTTCTTGATCATAATGATATGATTCTCTCTCTCTCTCTCTCTCTTTCTTTCTATCGTTCTCAAATCATTTTAAGTTTCTTTTCTCTCTTTCTCTCTATCACACGCATACACACACAATTTTCTTCAATGTTTTTCTTTCAACAACTATCCAATCAATTCATTTTGAAATGATTGCTTTCTTGCTCGCATTCGTGTTTGTTGATGATGTTGAATTATTAGAAATGAAATAAACACATTAACAACAACAACAACAACCAAGAAACAGTTAACAAGTAGAATAAATTAAGTCCTACTTTTTTCTCATTATTCCATCATCATCATCATCTTAATTTTGTGTTTGAGTTTCTTGGTAGTCGTCATCATCATCATTATAATCATTCTAGTGTTTGCTTTCAATCATGTTGAATGTGTGTGTGTGTGTGTGTTTACGGTTTTCATCATTTTCAAGTTTGACTTTTCAATTAGCAAAATATTAAATTTATTCTGAATCTTGAAATTTTGAATATTTTGAAATTAAATTTTTTTCGTGTGTGTGTGTGTGTGTGTGTATGTGTTAATGATTTTTATTTTTTTTTTCACACATAATGGCAAATGATCATATTGAATGTAATGAATTACTCGTTATTCGTAATCGAAAACATCATCATCATCATAACCATTTTGGACAACATTCGACATCATCAAATAATCATTTGAAAAGCGTATTTAATCATCATCATCAACATCAAATGGCAACAACATTTCAAATAAACACAACTATGGAACATGAACGTTCAACTAGTCGTAGTTCATCTTCATCATCATCATCATCATCATTATCGTCATCAGCATCGACATCAACATTATCAACAAATTCATCATCAATAATTGATCCAGGTGAAGATAAACCGGAAATAAATATGATTAATTCATCAATGGATGATACGACAACAATGATAATGCCAAGTCCAAATAAACGTCTTTGTAATGACTATAATCGTATGAAAATTGAATATGAACATCATCATAGGCAACAAAATGGACGAAAATCAAAAGAATTGAAAAGTAATCATTGCAGAGAAAAGATGGATCAAAATGATCATGAACAACAACAACAACAACAACAACAGGCCGATAATGAAATGATTATATCCGATAATGAAAAGTGCAAACCATTTCGATCATTTCTAATCAAAGATATTCTTTCACCAAATGTTAATAATAATGATGGTGATGATGAAAAAGAAGAATTTTTCGATAATACAAATAGTAGTGGCAATAATCATAAGAATAATAAAATAACAAACGAAACCATGACACGTTCACTGGGCCAGAATTTTATAAGGCCATGGGATAATGTTGTCCTGATGGATAATTCATCATCAACATCATCATCGTCATCATCAACATCATCAATGAATCCAGCAAATTATCTACAACAATTAAATATGGCATCAACATTCATACAAAGTATACAATATAATGCTGCATTAAATGGCGGTACATTACATCCGAATCATTTAGCATTATTACATAATTCATATCATGGAGCATTATCGGCTGCTGCTGCTGCTGCTGCGGCGGCGGCAGCAGCTGCCTCAGCTTCTGCTACAAATGTCACTGTATCATCGTCATCATCATTAACATCAAACAATACATTGACCAATCCTCATCATCCATATAATCCTCATCATCATCATCATCATCGTAATAATATCATGACAAATCGAAGGCCAAGATCAGCCGATGATGAATCGGAAATATCCGAAAGATCAGAAAGTGATTCACCTGAAAGTCCAATCAGTACAACCGGTACAACAAATGGTAATGGCCATAATAATAACAATAATACTGGATCATCACCATTGGATGCATTATTCGAAATGACAAGTAAAGCATTCGAACGTAATGAAAATAACGATAAATCTTCTGGTTTGTACTAACAAATTTTTTTTCTCTCTATTTTATTTTATTTTTTTTTGAACACGACACTTTTTAAACACATTTGAAAATGTTAGTGAAAAACTTCTGGAATCAATCCACAATCAGCTACTTTTACGATTTATTCAATGAATTTTGAAAATAAAAATGATCATAAATTAGATCATATTTTAATACTCATCAATGGTTAATGTTAAGGGTGTTTTTTTTTCTCAAAAAAAAAAAAAATTTTTTTTTATTGCTGCCAACCAGCTAAAGAAATTAGGCACATGTTTCTATTCATTCATTCATTCAAACATTTTGTTGTTGTTGTTATTGTTGTTAAATTGAGTTTTCTGGCTTTTAATTATCGTTGTTATGGTTCCGTTTTTGTTTTTTTTTTTTTTTTTTTGAAAAAAACAGGAATAGATAGTGTTAAATAGGAAAGAAGAAGAAAAAAAACACAAAATATATAGCACTCAATATATAAAAGAAAAAAAAACACATGAACAATTGTGATGATCTATATGAAAAACATTGCTTTTTTTGTCCTGTCCTATGCAAGTCCTTCTGCTTCTTATTCTTCGGGTGATGATTAAGTTTAAGTACACACACACACACACACACAAACACATCACACATAGTGTTGTGTATTGTATTGTACTCAAACGCTTAATGTGGGCAGCCATTAACCCAAAAGAAATCATCATCATCATCAATATTATAAAAATAAAACAATACCGTTACACACTCTCACACACACACACACACATTTATAATTCACAAGAAGATCTTACTTTATTTACGATAGTGAAGAAAAAAAAAATCTAAATAACACCACAGACCAATAATTTACGGTATAGACATTTGGTGAAATGTCATTAGAGACACAACAGAAAGAAAGAAAGAAAAAAAGAGAAAGAATCAAAGCTGAAATCTGTAAATATTTGACAAATGTCAAAACAACAACAACAACAACCAAACACTATCCAGATTTTTTTTTCGTATGTATATGAATGCGTAGTGAGTAGTTGAGTAAATTGAGTAAAAATCGAATCATTTAAGCACACAATGAAATTAGAATGTCATCAAATGAAAACTGATATTATCATCAAATATTCAGACATCCTTGCCGCACCATTATGTAGTAGCAAGAAGTAAAATAGGATAATTTGGAAGCATAAAATTCGCATATATATTCAATTCATTACACACACACACACACACAAAAAAACACTTAAACATATATACTATATAAATCTGTAGACGAAAAGACAATAAATCTTAATTCGATTGTCTCTGATTCCACTCAATCCACAGTGGAATGAATATGTAAGGAATTCTCATTTTTTATAACAGACTTTTCTTTCTGTTCTTTATGATGGACCCCGGTGTAGGAAAAAAAAAGCTTAATTTATTACCATTCACATTTACAATGTGCCTTTTTTTCTCTCAAATGGAAATGAATTTCACAAGATTTAATTTTATACAATTAAGCGCTCAATTTCAGTGACGACAACAACCGACAATCAAACACTATGACAATGACGATGATGACAATCAATCGTGTTGTTGTTGCAAAAACAAAAAGACAGAAGAAAAAAATGTGTACACATTTAGCAACAAATACGAGTTATACAAATGATAAAATGGATCATTTTGCTTCTTATTATTCAAAGGAATAGAAAAAATTCTTAGCTTTCCGGAGATTTAATGATGATGATGATGATGACGCTATTTGATAATTTATGCAATTTTTTTTTTTTTTTTTTTGGTAACACGAGTAAATAGACTTAAATGCCTGTATATACTCGATTGACGTCTTAAAACATCTGTGTGTGTGTGTGTGTGTGTGTGTGTCTATGAGTGTCGGACAAATGTTTTCTGTAATAAAATAAATATATACAATATATCAATATATATCCAAAATAGTAGGCAAAATACCCGAATCGAATGAATGGAACAAAAATTCATCTTAATAACAATATAATAATCATAATCACACATATATATTGGCAGCCAAATCAAACGAAAAAGAAAATAATAATAATTTTTTTGACATGTAAAATAACCTTCCTACTACTAGTACTATTCATATACACAAAAAAAAAATTACTGAAATGACCAATCCTTGCTATCTGTCCATGTGTCAATATGAAATTCATCACCATTCACTGAATGCCCATAGCCCATCATCATATAAACATCAAGTTCATTTTATTTATTTTGAACAAAAATAAAATGTGAAAAAATTTATTGTCTTTCACAGAATTGATGAATGAATGAATGAATGAATGAATGATTAGGTCGCTAATTTTTTTTTCTCAATGATCAATTTGTGAATTAATATAATCAAAATGATTGACAAGGGCCTGTTTTTTTTTTGTTTGTTGTTGCTGCTGTTGTCAGCATCAATCAATCAAACACTATTCGATTGATTGACTGATTGAATTGATCAAACATAATGAATATAACAAAAAAAAACAGGTAAATGACGCCCAATTTTTTTTTCTTTTTCTATCAATTACTTGTACAAAGAAACAATAAACACAACAATAAAAATGTGTGTGTGTGTGTACGAGCGCTTTCGTAGATAGAGAATACAAACAACAACAACAACAACAACAAACTTCAGCTTAATTACCTATTGATCATTTGTTTGAATGAAACTTTTTATCAAATTTGTTCATCTAATCTTTCTTCTTATCTTTATGATATATGATCATTTTACCGATGCCGACAATATGAATGAATTTGTAGGTTTGATTGACTGTCTAGATGAAATATTTTTTTATGAATGAAAAAAAAAAAATTGAATTCAATTTATATGATCAACACACAAACATTTGCCGAATCCATTCTTCAATAATTTTCATTGCACAAAAAAACCCCCAGCAAAATGTTTATTACCTGTGGTCGGCTTCTTTTTTTTCCAACCATCATCATTTTAAATATTCGGGAGTTCACAAACGCACACACACACACACACACACATATAATATACCTGGGCGCGGTAATCGTGAAGAAAAAACTTTTTTTTTCACCTTTTGTTGTTTTTTTTTCTTGGAGGCACTTTGATTATGTGGTGGTGGTGGTGGTGGTCATTACTTAATATATTGCAGCTCGTGTGCCGCCAACAAACTTTGATTCTTTCGAAAATGAGAAATTATTGATTGCCGACAATTTCAAATTTCATTTCTTCAATCATAGTTATTTTTTTTATACGAATCGGATGGATCAATTGATAATGATGATAATAGTGTTTACCAGGCGTTATATTATATAATAATTACCTTTTTTGATGTGTTTTTTTTACTACTACTTAGTATTACCATCAAGCGGTAAATCTCTAGCTTGTCTGACCATTTTTTTATCAAATTTTACCAATTTTTACTTTGATTATTTGCCGACTTGATAATTGTAGACATTTTTTTTTTTTTTGTTCTGTGATATTAGTAGTAGTAGTAGTAGTAGTAAGGTAATAGTTTAGTTATGACGTTAATAATATTAACACCTAAATTTGATATTACATTTCATGAAAAAACAGGCATCCTCATAGAAATCATCTTGATCATCATCATTAAATGATGGTGAAATAACCAAAGCAACAAAAAAAATAAAGATCCGCTAGTTTATTATTGTTTTTTTTCGGCTAGTAACAACAATTTCTTCAACTTTTTTTTTCTTTCTCTGTCTTCATCTTGTTTTCCTTGACAAATAAGACATTTGGTTCATCGTTGGTAAGAATTTATGCATTTTTTTCAGAGCTTTGCCGACACTATTGATTATTGCCACCACCATTGATTTAATGTGGAAAAAATGAACAAAAAAAAAAAAAAAAAGGAGAAAAACCTTGGAAAACAAGACTATGGTCCATAGACTATAGTGGACCCTGTTGGAATTCGTTTATACACTTCATTTGTTGAATGATGATGATGATGATGATTCATTTTCCATCAATTCACACCTCCATCTCTCTCACACATTCTTGTGTGTGTGTGTGTCAGTCAGTTTTAATTATACACACTGTCGGCTGATATACAAGTGTATACACAACAACTCGCTTTAGTGCTCGCACCTTTTGTGAACTAATATGGTCCAACAACAAAACAATTTTCATTTTTTTTTCAAATATATTGATGATTTCTCTTTTTACACAAGTCACGAGTCGGCTTCTTTTCTTCTTTCGGCTTTTTGATGATGATGATGATGATGATCAAGATGAAAAGTATGGCCACCACCATTGGCCGTCAAAAAAAAAACACCTCGACAACAACAACAACAACAACAAAAACAACAATTTTTCCGTTCGAATGATTTTCGTCTCAAAGTTGAAGCCAGAAAAAAAAGTGTCAGAAATAAAAATGAACAATCGACGTCGTGAGTAATGAAATAAAATGAAAGATCCAAGATGATTGGTATAATTTTTTTTTCTGGCTAACAAGTTAACCATATCCATAACAATTTCTATATGATATGATATGACAAGCAACAATCTATTTTGGACCAATTCATTTCATTAACCAATCACCCTTTTTAATCATTGTCGACAAGTGTTTAAATTGTTCAAATTTAGCCATTATATGCAACAACAAAAGAAAGGATTTTGAAAATTCTTAGCAGTTTAGTAGTAGTAGTAGTAGTAGTAGTAGAAAAATGTTGAACAAAATAAAAGGCTAAAATGATCATTCCAAAATTCATAGCGTTTCAATCAATCAATCAATCAATTTATTTTTGGCTAGTTAGCTAGTTAGTTATTTTAGTGTTAAATAAAATAATAATAATCATCATATATACTTTGAACACAAGTTGATTAATCTCATTAACACTTATCGATCGAACTTATAAAAAGAGAGAAACAAGAGATAAAATGTTAATTGTTGCCAATTTTTTTAGAAACTTTGATATGAAATCTCCCCCCATTACATCCACATCAATCAACCAATCGATCAATTCTCAATTAATATTCACCATTGTGGCCAAAAAAACAGATTTCCAAAGCCGTAAAGGTT